AATAATAGAATGGCTATTGCAAAAAAGATAAGAAAACTAAAAACTCTGGAATCTATATTAGAGCAAGAAAGGAGTTGACAAGAATAAAGGAGGCTTTATTCTTGCTTCTATATATACTATCCATCTAGAAGCTATGTAGCAACGTTCTATAGACCTCCAACATGTGTTGACTTTGCAAGCCACATGTCTTAATTTGCAAGGCAAGTTTTAACTAAGTGTACCACATAATTAACTTGTTACACAAGCTATCTATACATATGATACATGATTAACTTATTGACCAAGTTTCTAACTTAAAAATAAAATATAAACACTTGTAAAGTCAAAATTATGTCTATGAAGCTTCTAAGAAGCTTTTCTAAAAGATATTATAAAAATATCTACTTTTATCCATTTCTATTTAATCATATGGATAATTATTAAAATAAGTATGTATATTTGTAACAATTATTACTCTTCTCAAATTATCAAGGACATGAATCTTGAAGAAGTAAAAGATCATAACTTTCTTGTATCACTTGAAAAGACTAGATAATTATTTAAAGATGATATAATAATGAATTAAAATATCTAGTGCCAAAGACGAGAAGATTAGAAAGACTTGAAACAAGACTAAGGACTTGAAAGGCATTGACAAGAGTGAAGAAGGGTTCATTCTTGCCTCCATATGTACTATCTAACTAAGAGGTACGTCGTGATATTCTATAAGATCTTAAATACATATTAACTTTGCTAAACACATGTTTTAACTTACCAAGCAATTTTTCTATATGTATGCCACATAATTAGCTTTTTTTTGCAAGTTAATAATACATGTGATAAGTAGCTAACTTATTAACCAAGTTTCTAACCTACCAATTAACTACAAATACATATTGTTGAGAAAATAACTCTTTAAGTAGTTGCTAATGGTCAATAGAGTACAAGTATTGTTAAGAATATTCCATAAGGTTAGGTGCTGGTCTATAGTACATTAGAGTACAAGGGGAGGACTGGTCCTAGAAGATATCCCATATGGGTTGTAGCACTTGGTACCTTGGTACTAGTATATAAGGAAAGGGTTGGCATGAGAAGAATTATCTCATACCACACTCTATTTGTTATAGTGCAACCTTGCTGGTCCTAACTTACTCGTGTGGAGTATGTTTTCTATGTTTCAATAGGTTATGGGCCCACATTCTCTTACCAAGTAAGTTGTTCTTGCATTATTTCTTTGTTGCTTGTTTTTTGGTGGTTGAGATCTTATGGTAGAGTATTGCTAGTAAATTGTTGAAGTCAATGCTTAGTGCAAGACCTTGATAGTGTCTTTGCTTAAGGAGTACTAGTATTTGAGAGTTCTATGAGAAAGTGAGTCATTTTGAGTGAAGTGACGTGAGAGAGACGTTTGAAAGTCATAAAATCACATTACAAACCATTCCCTATCATTTAGACGTAATTTGGACTCAAAATATGTAAAAAGTTGCAAAACAGCGAATTCTGGGTTTGTAGTTCAGCAATCTTTAAGTAGTCATATCTTTTGCATTACAACTCCAAATCAAGAGTTTTTTGGACCTACTTGTAGCTTGAGATGGCATCTTTTGAGGGTGATAGCTTAAGAGTTGTTGAAAAGTTTAGAGGTGACAACTTTCACCACTGGAAGGCCAAAATGGAGCTACTTTTGGCATCATTGGATCTTTGGGAGATAGTAGATGAGGAAGAACTTGCACTTGGGGTAGAGGCAAGCATCAAGGACCAAAAGGACTTCAAAAGACGAGAAAAGAAGGCTTTTGGCATAATTACCACCAATTTAGATGAAAGCAACTTTGCTCATGTCATTTCTTGCAAAGGGGCAACAGATGCATGGAAGACTCTTTGCAATGTCTATGAAAGTAGGAATCTTTCCAATGTGCTATGGTCAAGGCAAAAATTCTTCACCGTGAAGATGGAAGAAGGTGAAGATCTCATGGCTCATGTGAATAAGGTAAAAGCACTTGCAAACCAACTTGTTGTTGTTGACAAGCCTTTACTTGAAGAAGATGTTGTGATGACATTGCTCTCAAGCCTTCCGGACTCCTATTCCTCCCTCATTGTGGCATTGGAGTCCATTTCAAGGAAAGACCTCACTTTGGACTATGTCACAGCAAGATTAGCCCATGAAGTGACCAAAAGAAAGCAAAAGGAGTCTATTGGGGAGCAATCAGTACTATTTACAAGACCAAGTAAGGCAAGTGCCCCTTTTCAACGTTATCCTCCTAAAACTTGTTATATTTGTGGAAAACCAGGCCATTTTGCTAGAAATTATTTCAAGACAAAGAGAGGAGAAAGAGAGAATGCCAACAATGCTTTTCATGACCATGGAGGTGAAGACTTTGCATTCATGGCAAAACAAACTCCTTCCATGTTTGATATGAGCAAATGGATTGTGGATTCTAGATGTACTAAACACATGACTCCATACAAGTGTTCATTTAACACTTATCAACCAATTCCAGCAACCAAGGTTTGGTTAGGTGATAATTGTATGGTACAAGCCATTGGAATGGGCACCATTGTAGTAGACGTGGTGGTAAAGGGCATAAGCAAGAGAATCACTCTCAAGGATGTGTTGCATGTGCCAAAGATGAAGAAGAACTTCCTTTCGGAGAGTAAACTTGTAACTCATGGGTACAAAGTGCAATTTAATATGAATGGATGTTTTGTGAGAACCATGGAAGGCAAAGAAGTAGCAAAAAGGACTAGGGATGGCAATCTCTATAATATCAATTGCAAGAGGATCAATGGAGTGGAGATTGCTGCCTTTGCTGAATTTCCAACAAATGAAGACAAGGTGGACATTTGGCATCAAAGACTTGGGCATTTGAATGTCAAAAGCATGAAGGGGCTTTAATCCAAGGTAAGTGGCATAGACCTTGGCCATTCTACCATTAATCTTGCTTGTGAGGGATGCATTCAAGGCAAACAACATAGGACACCATTTCCTAGAAGAGTTGCAACAAGAGCAAACCAATTGCTGGAGCTTGTGCATTTGGATGTTTGTGGATCCATGAGGACACCATCTATGAGTGGTAGTAAAAAGTGGGAGATGTGTCCAAGTGGGAGTAGTGGTGTGTTTGTGGACACATCTTCAATTCCATCAAACAAACAAGAAGATGAAGAAGAGCATTCTCCAAGTGAAGAAGGAGAAGAAGATGCCATGATAGAAGAGCCCAATACTATGAAGACTTCAATTCTAGCAAGATACAACAAGGACAATGAAGAGAATGAAGATGAAGAATACCAACCAATGAGTAAGAGAAAGAATTCCATAAGCCATACAAGGCAGCAAGAGGTGCATGAAGGCTCATCCTCTTTGCATGAAAGAAGATATCCAACACGTGAGAGAAGACCACAAGGTGAATGGTGGAAGAACCACATCTTTCCACAAGTAAGTGAAGACCATGCCAATGTTGCTCTTTTTGATGATCCATTGACTTTGTGTAATGCAATGAGGTGTGGTGATGCAATGAAGTGGGAGAATGCCATGCAAGAAGAATACAAATCTCTTATGGACAATGAGACATGAGAGTTGACTCCACTTCCACCAAATTGTTCAGCAATTGGATGTAAGTGGGTGTTTAGAACCAAGAGAGATGCAAATGATTGAAGGTCAATAATGGGCTATGTATTCTTTGTTGGAGTGGGAGCCATATCTTCGAATTGCAAGTGACAACCAAACATTGCAAGGTCCACAATAGGGGCGAAGTACATGGCAGCAAGTCATGAAGCAATGTAGGCAATTTGGTTGAGGTTGTTATTGGAAGATATTGGACTTGTGCAATTGGAGGCCATTCCATTGAGGTGTGACAATCAAGGATGTCTTGCTTTTGCAAAGAATCCAAAGGATCATGCAAGAACTAAGTACATTGATATTCAGCATCATTTCATAAGAGAGAAGATAGAGATGGAGGTTATTGATATGATGTATTGTGAAACCAAAGACATGTTGCCTGATTTGTTGACAAAAGCCTTAGTTAGAGAAAGACACAACAAGTTGAGTAAGGCATTAGGATTGATAGCTAATTGACCAATAGCAAAGTGGGAGTGTTGAGAAAATAACTCTTTAAGTAGTTGCTAATGGTCAATAGAGTACAAGTGTTGTTAGGAATATTCCATAAGGTTAGGTGCTGGTCTATAGTACATTAGAATAGAAGGGGAGGGCTGGTCCTAGAAGATATCCCATATGGGTTGTAGCACTTGGTACCTTGGTACTAGTATATAAGGAAAGGGTTGGCATGAAAAGAATTATCTCATACCACACTCTATTTGTTATAGTGCAACCTTGCTGGTCCTAACTTACTTGTGTGGAGTATGCTTTCTATGTTTCAATACATATAAAGTAAAAACAACATCTATAAAGCTTTTAGGAAACTTCTTTGGAAGACATTATAAAATTATTCTATTTTATCTACTTCTACTTAATCATATAAATAATTATTGGAGTAAATATGTATGTTTGGATAATTTCATTAATTTTAGAATTTGAAAGATAAATTACTTGATAGTTTTTGTGTGAAGAGAGACTAAAACTTAAAAAAGTAACCAATAAATTTTATCAAAAACTATAAGAAGATAGTGAGCTAGAAAGTGTATGATTCTTCAAAAGAATAATTGAGCCATTTAAGAATTCTACTAACACATTGATTATAATGATTTGAAAAGTACAAATAAAAAAACTTCAAAGAATTATACTACCATTTTTTCCAAACTACTATTACTAGTTTTGTTTAGAATGCATTAGAAGGTGTGTTCTTCTATATGTTGTTTAATTTGAAATTCATTCTTCTAGCCCATTATCCTCCAATTCTATCGCTTGTTATTGCAAATCACAGTATACAATCCTAAACCGTAAAGAATGGCATGGGTTTCTACTAATAAATAATCCATGAACTAAACACCACAATTATCATCCATTTCGTCATATTCATCCATCCACCCCTCTATCGTGCACTTTGACTTGGAAGCAGGATGTGTTTTCAGAGGCATTCCGTGGAGAAGAAGATTGCGGAGCAGTTGAAGGGGTTTAGCCGTGGGACACGAGGGCACGAGGCCTACATGCTTTTGCCGTGCCGGTGAAGCAACAGTGAGGGCGTCGCGGAGCAGGGGTGGATCACATCGCAGCTTGCGACGATCGAAGCCGGAGGCGATACTGTCCTGTGATCGTCGTGCGCCTATTTCTATGCGTTGGATTCGTTCTCGTCGTTGCTGCCAGCCATAGGGGAGTTCTCGACCGTCGTTTGCACTCCTGTTCGGTTTCCCTGCAGTTAATTTAGGGTGAGTGCGGCAGTTCTCGTGGCGATTCAGGCCGATCGAGGGATTTCGTAGCCATTGCTGTGAGAAATGGCTACAGGTAGCCGGGCGAGAGGTGTGGCGACATTAGGGTTTAGGGTGCTGGCCGTGTCTACTCGATCTGTGAATGGTAGATTTTCTTCTGCGTCGGGTTCCCCGTCTTCGCGATTGCTCTCGGGTTTTTCAGGTCAAGTGGAAGACAGTTTAGCGATCAGAACCTTGGGAAATTGGACACCAGTGCGGGGGTTTAAGAGTGGGAGAGATGACCCTAGTTTTAGGTATGAGATGTCTCCGCCCACGAATTGGGGCGTGCGAATCGTTCCGGAGAAGAGCGCGTTCGTGATCGAGCGGTTCGGGAAATACTTAAAGACTTTAGGATCAGGTTTGTTGTCAATTGATCATGTTCTCAGCATTTATCATTATCAATTTGGTCGGTGATAGTTAGGGTCTACAGGTGCAGAGTTTCTGTCTGTTGATACTTCGTGGGTTACACACTGATGTAAAGATATATCTCATCAGTTTCTCGAAAAGCCTCACATTCTGTGAACGATACTCCCGTTTTTTGACAATGCTTTAAGCTGACGATTGAGCTTACATTCAATCGGTGATATGAAATCAAGGTTCTGACCGAAGAAATGTTGGGGCAGGTATTCATGTGATGATACCATTGGTGGACAGGATTGCTTATGTGCATTCCTTGAAAGAGGAAGCCATTCCTATTCCAAATCAGAGTGCCATCACGAAAGATAATGTGAGCATTTCAATTGACGGAGTTTTATATCTCAAGATAGTTGATCCTATTCGGGCTTCGTATGGAGTGGAAAATCCAATCTATGCTATCATTCAGGTATCAAACTGTGCATCTTCTTTTTCTCCATTTGCATGCCAGCCTCTTAGTCAGCAGTATTTAGGCTTCTTGTCCTAAGTTTTCCTATTAGGAAACGTATACGAAGAACTATAATTTTCACAGGGCTTGTGTCTAGTTATGAACCAACGTGTGTGCACAATTTCATCTTCTGCTGTTTTTGAGTAGAATATGTAATATCTCTTAGATGTCTGGATGCGTTTTGGTGAATAATGTCCCTGCCATAGGCCTCTTCGTTTCAAAATGCAATTGGGGGTCATGATTTATTTAATAACGGTGATTTTTATTGGATCCAGCTCGCGCAAACAACTATGCGATCTGAGCTTGGGAAAATTACTCTTGACAAAACGTTTGAGGAGAGAGATACACTTAATGAAAACATCGTCAAGGCGATTAACGAGGCTGCTTCAGACTGGGGCCTCCAGTGTTTGCGGTACGAGATTCGAGACATATCTCCACCTCCGGGTGTGAGGGCAGCTATGGAGATGCAGGCTGAGGCAGAGCGACGAAAGAGAGCACAGGTTCTCGAGTCCGAAGGAGAGCGACAGTCTCACATCAATATTGCCGATGGAAAGAAAAATTCAGTAATTTTGGAATCCGAGGCAGCAATGATGGATCAGGTAGACGCGTATTTTGGTTCCCTCACCCGACTCAATTTTACTTCTTGATCTGAAATAAATGATATAGCAAGATTCAGATGTTTGTTCCTTCTTTCTTTTAGTGTCTCGATTTCTGGCTAAAGAGATTGGTTAAAGTAGTGGCTGCACTACAATGGGACGAAATCTCATGGCAATTTATGTTTTAATTTAGCGAGTAATATATTTTGCTATCAGGTGAACCGAGCCAAAGGAGAGGCGGATGCTATACTAGCCCGCGCCGAAGCAACTTCGAAGGGTATCCAGTTGCTGTCACAGGCTATCCGTGCTGAAGGAGGATCCGAGGCTGCATCTCTTCGTGTGGCAGAACAGTACTTACAGGCCTTCAGTCAGCTTGCAAAAGAAAGTACAACAATGCTTCTTCCCAGTAATGCTTCTGAACCAGCTGCTATGATAGCTCAAGCGTTGTCAATTTACAAAGGTATTGTTGGAGTAGATGGTGTCTCTACTCGGATGTCGCCTGATGGTGGGCCTAAACCGAAGGATCAATCTTCGGGCCCTTGGAAGCCCACCCCTTTAGATTCTGAAAAGGATAAGATTGGTCAGGATCCTACTCGAGGTGCATCAGATATCAACCGAGAACCACCTGTTCCCCGGAACTTCAGCCTTCAGACTCCGGCTTAAAGTGTTAGTGCTGCGTCACACGAGAAAACAACATATGCTTATCGAATTTAACCATGTGTTCAATTTCAGTAGATTCCGCAGTGAAAGGTCAACCGTCGAGAACACAAGGACCAGGTTTTGTGAGAATGGATTGGTGGCTAGGTTAGGTATTCAAAGGAATGAGTTGCTGGAGCTATGTTGGAGAAGTGCCCATCCACTTGATTGGAGGGCAAATTTTGATATGACAGATATCACAAGTTAGGATTTACCCTCATGATCTGTACCTAGAAACATATGTTCGTCAGTACCTCATAAGTGGACTGTTAATTTCAACCTGTATACATGTTACCGCCTCATTTGATGAGCTTGGATATTGGCCATACGTGGTTTTTGGAGGTAGTATTTGGTTCCTTATGCAATTCTTGTGCTATTAGCTTGTTCCATTGAGGTGTAAGACAAGAAGGTTTTTCTATGAGGTGTAGCAATCACGTCTCGACGTAGATTAAACCTATTGCCCAGGAATTACAGAAATGGGAACTGCAGATTGTGCCTCTGGCGCAGGCTGAGTTGAGAAATGGAAATTGCTGGATGAGAGTGAGCTTTATCAAGCTCAGCTTGTCTTATGCCAGATTCCCTAAGCTAATTAGACCTAAAATCGTATGTGGAGCCTTTGTGGCACAAAAATGGTGAGTCGAAAGGAAATCCTAAAGCTCAAAATAGCTTTAGGATTTCTGAAAACTCTAAAGGTATGCGATGTATTCACTGTTCTGTGTTGTGTGATCTGCATACACTGCTGGCATCTACATGTGGTGGTTGTTTGGGTTTATAATTTGTGTGTCTTGAGTTTTGTGTGTGTATATATATATATATAGGGAGAGAGAGTGAGAAGTATAAAAGTATTAATTACTTTACCACTTGTGATTGGAAGATAACCCAAAACATCTCAAACGTCGAATAAACCACATACGAAATAAGCCAGATACTGATGAGCACGGATAAGAAATGATTCAAGTAAGATGTCATTCTATTTTCATTTTCGTTTTGTATGCATTGAATAAATCATTGAATGCCATCTCAAAAACTTTCATCACCGTTGTTCTCATCACCATGCAAACTACGGAATACATAATCATAAGCACTAATTTATATACTAAAGAGTAAATTGCACTTCGATTCAGAATCAACCACCACTTACGAGTATTTTATAGTTTTTCTATGTTGTGTTGTTTTCTTAATTTATCACATCAACTGTAAACTCAAATCAATGGATTTCAAAGCAATATGAAAAACAATCGAGATCAAGGCAAGTGCATGTGTACGTGCATACAGATATATATATATATATATATTTTTTTTATATATATTTATTTATTTATTTATTTAAATATTCATTTAACAACTTTTCATGTTGCAACGTTGAATGCAGTAGCGTGGTGAATTTTTCAAAATATAATCACCACAATAGAAACTGCATAATATTCTTGAAACATGGTTACAACAAGTCTAGTTCTAATGTGTTCAATGTGTTCTAACAAATCTAGGTAGAGTGGACTACTTTTTCTCAAGTTTGAAAATGTTATGATTGTTTTACATGTTCAAAAAAATATAATATAAGCCAATAAAAAAAAATATCATTTCTTCATGCAATAATTGAAAGAATTAGCCCCGCTTTATATTTTTGACTAAAAAAATACATACAGATTTATAAATTTTATGAATCCAAAAGGAACAAATTAATACTAACATGAAACACATAATCCTCCATATTTTATGATTGCAGTTCCAAAAAAGGCAGTAAATAGCAAAAAACGATTTTCAAAAGAGATATGAAATTATTGTTATGGATGAGTAAATAAATACAAATATAAATAATGTGTAAAGTATCCGTTGTATTTCAATGCAATGATGACTCTAATGCGTAAAATATGCAGAATTCTCAATCATATATTTTAATTACATATTGAGCACATTATTTTCTACAATACACTTACAAGACACTTTTTATTGTTGTGTTTAAGAAAATAAGTATATATCTAATATATCCAACACATTATTTTCTAAAATATGATTATCTAAAAAACCAAAATAGAATAGTCTTAATTCATATTTCAAGAGAATTAAAACTCGCAAGGGTTAAAATCAATGAGTAACAAAGACTAAACCCTAAATTTAGAACTGAAAGCTTCACCTTCCAGCAGATGACACGCCATGGAAAGGGCGCCAAACATTGTTAAAAGCGAAGCCCGGGAAAAAATGCAATACCTCCCGCGCTATGCACCAATTTCGTGCATATGAATGAATGAAACTACGCTTATGAAGAGTGTCATTCATACATGACACCCTAATGAATAAAGATGTAGATATGGATGAATGAAATAAATTCATTTGTTGGTGATGGACCAGACTAGAACTTTCATCACCCCTGTTCCATGATTGGGACTGTGGAGGGAGACTCAAGCTCTCTCATTCTCATGCTGACGTCAGGGAAATTAGTGTCATCCAATCATTGATCGTCGTTAAATTTGACCTGGCCAATCAGGCTTCTGACACGTGGATATGGAAATTAATAAATTGAGAACAAAAAATTAACGAGTTTTTATTTTTTATTTTTTCAAACTACATCCACGGTGCTGGATGTGACAGAAGCCGCCAAACAGAAGAAATAAAAAGTAAAATTAAAGTAAATGAAAAAAGAAATGCGAAGACTAAAGGTGAAATGGGGAAAGGGGGAAAGAAAAGGCAGTTTGTTTGCAAAACATACCCGCCCAGTGCTCCGCTTGAAACGTCGACTGACTGCAACTCTGACCGCATTGCCTACCGCTGAATATCCACGACGCACGAACAAAACGAAAAAAAGAAAAAAAATAAAAGAGGAAAAATAGGAAAAGCAGAAAGGCGTGATTCTGGCCAGAGCTCCATCGCGGGTCGGTCTTCGCGTGTGTGTGTGTTGTGCGAGAAGGCGTCTCTCTTCCCCCGAACTACGAAACCATACCTGCCAGAATAGATCGATTAATAGACTCGATTGCCGAGTAATCGTCGTTAATCGCAGCCTCCTCGCACATCTGTATACCGCTCAATTCTGGTGTCGCCGCTGCAGTCACGCTTTCTTTCGATTCCCGTGCCTGTTCTTTACTCCTTGGCTGCTGCTCCTGCCATTTGTGTTATCTGAGAGGACTCGTTTTTTCCTGTGTTTTCGCTGCGTGTGCTTCGCACAACCGTTGTCGTGGTTAGATCTGCGGTTAGTGTGTGTAGAGTTTGATTGCCGAGCAGCAGCTGTGGGGTATTTTGACTGCTAACGCCAAGGATTAGCGCTCTGGCAAATGTGGGGAGTGTGAGGGATTTAGTGTGGAGATAATTTGCGGAGGTGTTGTTGAGCGCGGTTTAAATTTTGGTGCGCGAGACGAGGGTGATTGTGTGGGCAGTTGGTGAGGTGAGGCAGAATGGGCAGCCCGGAGGCCACTTTAGCTGCGGTCGAGGCCGTGGGAACGCAGGAAGACGCCTTCGAGGAACTCACTGGGAACCTGCAAGGGTGGAAACGCAAGGTCCGTAGAGCTGCAAAATCCCACGCCTTGATTGAGAAAGTTCAGGAATCTTGCTTGTGACATAGGTTTCGGACGCTAATTGGCTCCAGCAATGTCGGCCGTTGGACCTGCACTTGTGGGATGGTCATGTGGTTTTGGCTATCTTGGCTGAGGTGGAGATTGCTTTAGAAGGCGCGCGGGTGGTGATATTGAATGTGGTTGTTCAGGATGTTGCGGGTTGCGCATCTCATATGGTAGGGTAGGGTACGAATTTGGCGAGGAGGGGTTGGGGCCAGCGTATTCTGTCGTGTCGAGCGTGGCGGTAGAGAGCGCGAAGTTTCTGTTGAGTGTGGAAGTTGGTTTCAGGGGCATGGGTGGTCGGTGTTGCGGTAGTTGGTAAAAATCGAGGCGCGGGTGTAGGAAAGGTGCGTGGTATGGTGCAGTGGGAGGCTGTAGTGCGGCGTGTAGCGGAGGATGTGTGTTGGAAGAGGAGAGTCGTAGTTATGTTTGGGTGGGAATGGGTGAAGACTAGGAGGAGGGAACATTGAGGGGGAGTAGCAGATCGCATCGGGAAAGGCAGAATCCGGGTAGTTCTTGCAATAGTTGGTGGTCAAATTTGTAAGCTTGGTCGTTCGTGACGTGAGGTGTGCTGATCACATAGCGCTGTAGACCTTCCGAGTTTTTTGAGGTGCTCTCCATTCGAGACGTGACATCGTTGGTTACAACCCATTTCACGAAATTAGAGGAGCGCTTGTTGTTGCGCAAGGGAGGCGTCTTGTATAGTTTTATATCTTTATTTATTTATTTCACTGATTGCAGCAATGCAGTGAGGCGTCATTGGGGTTTGAGAGTATCTTTTCTGTACCCTGGGATTGTGATGTGGTTTGACCGTATCTTTGCAAAATGCAAGACTTCATATTCTTGCTTTCTAACTCCGGACGACGGTTGTGTATCCTACTCATCTTAGTTGACGAATGTCTTCGACTCCCTCGGTCGTCGGTGATGGTCGTATGCCCTGCCTTGATTGCTTGGCGGCGGTATGCAAAAACTTTCGGTTTCCCGTGGAGGTGTCCTAGACGCAGCCTGTGCCACTTCTTAGACGCTTATCGTCCAAGCGCAGGATTTTTCGTTCTCTGAACACCTTCGCGCACCCGCTTAGTTCTACTGTAGGCGCACGCCACGACCACGGGAAGTTAAGCTCTAACTTCGCCTGTGGTGTTTTTCGGTCCCTGAACGCGACCCGAATGGCGCGTGGTTGGGGTTTCGCCAACCATCTGGTTTGGTGGACATCCTGGGGGCTGGTCATGCACTCCGTCGCTTCTTTTTGGATGTCAGAAACCAATCATGGAGGGACTTGTTCGTTAACAGGTGTAATAAGTGAGCAGCATCAACGAAGCATGACGTGATCATCATGTTGCTGGGGGCTTTTCGTTTCCTGAATATTCTCCCATCCTCTTTCATCTCGTAGCTCGCGAAACTTGGGATCCTGCGCAGACTTTGAAATTACCTCGCTACGGGTACGAGTTTCGACGAGCTACATTGCAAACGTTTTAGTTACTCCGCTGTTCGGACAATTTGTATCAGACGTCATCCTGCGTTTATTTTGTGTGAACCCTGCAAAGTGTTCGCCAGTGGGGGCTGGGTATACCTTTTCACGGTTGTGGTGGCTTGATGCCCGTTTGCGAAATTGCGGGTATCACATACTGCCATTAATACTTATTACCGTTACCTTGAAAAGTCGAACGTTTGATTCAGAAATAAACGGTTTCGCGCTCATATCCAAAACCTTAGATGTATTCTTGTTTGAGATATCTATTTCCTGATGATACTGTTCCGAATTGGAGCAATCGTGCGGATCG